AGAAAACAAACAACCTAGATGTCCATCAGCTGATGAATGGATAATGAAAATATGGTACATTTACACAATGTAATATTATTCAGCTGTGTAAAAAAAAAACACCAAAATATGAAATTCAAAGATAAATGGATGGAACTGGAAATAATCATCCTGAGTGAGGTAATTCAGATCCATAAAAACAAAAGTCACATAGACTCTCTCATATGTGAATGTGTTGAATCTTTATGTATGGTTGCTTTAATTGGAAAATTCATAAAGATCAGGAAACTAGTAAGGGGTCATAGGAGACGTTTCCTTCCTAGGAGGGGAGATACAATGCAGTATATAAATGGGGAGAGGGGAATAATGGAATTGGAAGTGTTAAATGGGGTGGGGAATAGAAGGAGGGGGTAAAGGAGAGCGCATGGGGAGGGACAGCTAACACTGAAAAAGTCATGTGGAAACCTACTACTATAGAAGTTTCTTAAAATATATACATACACAATACCAAAGTAGTCTAAATGGAGTTATAACAGGAGACAATGGTCCTACCAGACACCACGGGTAGCAAATAAAAGACCAAATGCCAGGAATGGGATCCCTCTTTTGGAGTTGTTCACCAGAGAGGTCCCATAGATTCTCAGACAGTATTAACTATTGCTGTTGCTCTTGGTTGCCCTCCATAACTTGATGGTAAAACCATATTGCTTAAAGATATTGCATATATGGTCATAAAACAAATATGGAGAAATCACGTTGATACTGACCTCAAATTTTATCTCTGTTAACTAGATTTCATAGTGCTAGAAGGTGCTATGCATACTACCAGAAAAGTTGTCCCCAAACTTACCCAGCTGTGAACCCTGCGATCTATAATAACAACTAGCCTGGCTAGATGGTTATTAATACAGGGATCCACAACTGGTCAAGGTGCAGAGAATAAGAGACTGGATTGCTCAGTTCTAAATGGGACGCCTATATTATACCTTCTCTCAAGGCTTAAGAGTCATTGTGGAAGAGGGGGCAGAAATAGTGTAAAAACAAGAGGTGGTGGACGAATACAAGTAAACCATGCCTTCCAGACACAACAGAGCTATTGCACATATGAGCCCACACTGCTCATGACAGCATTCACAAGACCTGTGCCAGCCCATGCCAGACAAAAACCTAACATTGAAGTAGGAGGTGGGCAAAAAAGTCCAGTCTTAGCTGAGGATCTATTGGCGATTGATAGCTGCTAGAAGAGGGATAGACCATTTTCATTAAGGATGTGTGCTCTATTCAGCTTTCTGATGCTATGATAAAACACTCTGACCAAACAAAATTGGAAAGGACTTATTTGACTCACACATCCTGATCACAGATCATCCTTGAGGGAAGTCAGGGCAGAAACCCAGGCAGGACCTGGAGGTAGGAACTGAAGCACAGACCATGGAGAAATGCTGCTTACTGTCTGGCTCTTCTAGCCTGTGCTCAGCCTGCTTTCTTATACAGCCCACAACCACTTCTTGCCCAGATGTGGCACCGCCCACAGTAGGCTGGGCCCTCCCATATCACTCAACAATCAAGAAAATGCCTTGCAGACAAGCCCAAAGCTCAATCCAATAGAGGAAATGACCTATTGAGGTTCGTCTTCCCAGGTGTGTCAGGTTTACAAAAGAAGTCAACCATGACAGTGTGATATCAGGAAGACTGGCCAGACTCCAGGGAATGGACCCACACTCTTGAGCAATTGGAGAACACAAATTTAATTCAATAGGCCTTCAAGAAAGAGGGTGTGATGTAAGTGGGGATGGGTAGACAGGGATGGATCTGAGAAGAGATGATGGAGGGAATCTGAATACGAAATACATTGTATGGGGCTGGAGAGATGGCTCAGCAGATAAGGCTGTTCTTCCAGAGAACCAGAATTTAGTTCCCAGCACCCACATAGCAGCTAACAACTATTCCTAACACCAGTACCTGGGGATCCTATGCCCTTTTCTAGCCTCTGTGAGCACTGCATGACACAGGTGAACTTCTATACATGCAGGCAAAACACTCATACTAATACAATAAAGATAAATAAATAATATATTGTATGAAATTCTCAAAGAATCAATAAAATATTTTTTAAAAAATAAGACAGACAATAGAAGAGGAAAGTGGAAGAAAAATTCTTTCCAGTTTTTCATCTAGGGATTACTGTCTAAAATATACAAAGAACTCAAAAGAGTTTACAACCAAACAGAAAGTAATCCAACCCGTAAATGGCCAATGATCTGAATGTTTCACAAAAGAGGTACAAATGACCAACAAATACATGAAAAGATATTTAACATGAGTAACTATGAGGGAAATGCAAATCAAAACTACAGTGTAACTCCATCTAACCCCGGTCAAAAAGTCTGGCATCAAGGAAACAAACAGCAAATGCTGAGGCTATCAAGGGATAAAGGACCCATACACTGTTGGCGAGAACATAAATTAGCATAGTTTCTATGGAAATCAGTCTGGAGTTTCCTCAAAGAATTAAAAATAACACTACCCTGTGATCCAGCTGTATCACTCCTTATACACCAAAGAAATTAGTCAGAAACATCTGTCACCAAGCTCATCAAGGTGCTGTTCACATGAGTCAGTTTATAGAATCAGCCTCAGATACATCGATCGGTTTAATAGGCAAAATGCATTATATATAAATTATTGAGACTTATTCATCCATAAAACAAAACAAATTTATGACATTCACAGGTAAATGGTTGGAAACTGAGATGGTCATGTTAAGTGAAATTAATCAGACTCAAAATTGCAAGTATTATATGTGGAAACTAGAATTACAAGCAGACGTGGCATGAAAGTAACGGACAGCTACTGGAGAAGAGGATCAGTGTGAGGCTCCCACAAGTGTGACAGAAGGTGTTATGCTGAGGGTAAATATAGTCAAAGTATGTTATGAGCATGTGCAAAAAGGTCACACTTAAGTATATCCTTTTGTATGATTAATATATACTAATAAAAATGAATCTTATCCTACATCTTAGAAGCAGCAAATCAGAACACATATAAGAGGATAAAAGTAAATAAGAATAAACACAGCCAAAGATGGGCAAGACAGCTACAAAGAAAGGAAAAAGCATTTCAAAAAGGAACCCTCCAAACAACTCTCCACATAGTTGTACACCTAACAGGAATGTCCACATATAGTTACCACAGGCTTCACATACAACTTTTATTATACCATTAACTTTATTTTTCCCAAGCTACAAGAGCACTACACTTTACAGAAAAATTAACAAAGAAAATAGTGTCAAATTCATACAGTGGTGGATTACAGAACAATGAAAAGGAGCAAAGAAGAATAATCATAATGACGGATTTTATAATCAGAATCTGAATAGGAGAGCCACTTTCAATTTTGATTTGCAAAGACACAAAGAACTAAAAGTGACATCATTGGCCCAGAGTGACCAGCTACCCTTGAGAAGGAGTGAGAGGACATGATTGGTAAAGACTAGATATTTTTTATCCTATTAATGATGGCATGAGTGTGCTCACTTTGTGATAGTCTCCCAATCCTAAAATTATTTTAAAATGTATAGTTGACCTGAAAACATGCTTTATATGTATGATTAATTAAATATAACTAGCTAGTTATATTTAACTAATCTTAAATACATCATTGCATACAAAGAAAAGTGAAAAAACAACAGAGGAGAATGAAGAGATAAAAGAGATGTATTTAAAGACATAGAAGGTGCCAGGCATGGTGACACACGACTTTAATCCCAGCACTTGAAAGGTAGAGGCAAATGGATCTCTGTGTGTTTGAGGCCAGCCTGCTCTACACAGTGAGTTCCAGGCCAGCTGGGTTACAGGGAAACCCTGTCTCAAAAAGACCAGAACATACATAGATAGATAGATAGATAGATAGATAGATAGATAGATAGATAGATAGATAGATAGATAGATAGATAGATAGATAGATAGATAGATAGATAGATAGATAGATAGATAGATAGATAGATAGATAGATAGATAGATAGATAGATAGATAGATAGATAGATAGATAGATAGATAGATAGATAGATAGATAGATAGATAGATAGATAGATAGATAGATAGATAGATAGATAGATAGATAGATAGATAGATAGATAGATAGATAGATAGATAGATAGACACGACGTTGAAGGAGGGCAAATGGAAAATAAAAAGATGAAAAGACAAGGAAGGGACACAAGTAAAATTGCCAAATCTTCTAGTTACCAGTCACCTCCTCAATCTGATTTGCCTAAACTGAAGGCAATTATATAGAACAAAGTATAGCCTGATCCTCCTGGTGAGCCTCTCAGGAAAGGGGAAATCAGGACCAAAGGTCACACACACAGCTATGCACACATGGATGCACACACACCCTTTGATACTCTCTAACTCTAATGCATCACTTCTTCTCCATCACTCCTTTGGCCTACTATGTCATAGAACATATCCTGACAGATATCTTCATCCCAAATGCCTTTGAGATACAGAGGTGGACAATCTGGTACAATGGCAGGTGCCTGGACTAACCTGGAGTGGGGAAGTTTAGGTTAAAAGGACAGAGAGCCAGCCGGTTTATCACTGTGAACATAGCATCATCATGCCCCTCTGCAGAGACACTTTGTAATCTAAGAACAAAGGAACAAATGATTAGATGAACAAATTCTATGACCCTTACATGGCCAGATGATGATCAAAGGTATGATAAAACGGATAATGCAATGCCCTTGCCTTTATTTGAAAAAGTTCTCATGAGTTACTTATTCTAGGATAAGAATCAAATTAAACACTTTCAAACAATACACAACATTGAGAAACAAGCTCTTCCTTGATAAACACAAAATTTGAATATGGAAGATGGCATAAACAACATCAAGGAAAAGTCCTGCTGATTGGTTCACACCTGGCAAGCCTGATATATAAAAGGCCTGGGATGTAAGAACTCACAATATTTAGAAAACCGTCTGTGAACAGGACCCCATCCTCCACATCTGACACCATGACCACCTCCTGCTGCTCCCCTTGCTGCCAGCCCACCTGCTGCAGAACCACCTGCTGGAAGCCAGCCTGTGTGACCAGCTGCTGCCAGCCCAGCTGCTATGAGTGCATCTGCTGCACACCCTGCTGTCCCCCAAGTTGCTGCTGCACACCCTGCTGTGAACCCTGCTGCAGTGAGTCCAGTTGCTGTGACCAAATCACCACAGTCAGAAGCTGCTGCCAACCCTGCTGCCAGCCAACCTGCTCTGAAACCACCTGCTGCAAACCAGCCTGTGTCATCTGCTGCTGCTGCATACCCTGCTATCATCCCTGCTGCATCCCCTGCTGCTGCTGCATACCCTGTTGTTGTAGCACATCTTGTTGCCAACCCTGCTGCCAACCGACTTGCTGTGAAATTACCTGCCACAAAACAACCAGCTGGAAACCTACCTGTGAGGTCACCTGCTGTAGCACACCCTGCTGTTGCTAATCGACTTCCAAAATGACCACCATATTTCATAAATAACCATATTTCTGACATAGCTGACTGTTATATCAGCGCAAACTCACTTCCTGTCTTTGCTGGAAACCATATGCATACTTTGTAGGAAAGCAGAATTCTCTTCCCTTCTAGGTACTGTGGAGCTTCTACCAACTTCATAGATAGTTGATGTGGAAGTCTGGCCTCAACCTAAAATCTGAGACAAGGTTTTAGTCTTTTTGAGATAGGGTCTTCCTATAACCCCAGCTGGCCTGGAACTCACTATGTAGACCAGGCTGGCCTTTGTCTCACAGAGATCCACCTGCCTCTGCCTCCCGAAAGCTGAGATTACCACCTTGCCCCATCATGCCTGGCATAAGACAAGATATTTAACCTCTTCCTCTTAATTAGGAAAAAAAAAATGTCATTAACATTTTCATAGATTAATGCAACCTACCATTAATCTCTTAAACATACTTTTTCTTTTGCAGTGAATTCTGAATTTCTATGCTATCTTCTTCTTTGTACTCACTTTTGATTGTCTCCCTAGAAACAAGTAGCCTTAATAAAGTCTTTAATATTAATCATTCCATATTGCCTATTATTTTCATACCCTGATATGTCACTTGAAATGAGAGCCATATTTTCAGTACATTTTAAATGTAAAGTGTGATGACACTGAATCACACACAGTAAGAACAATGTTTTCCCCAAATCTCTGAAAGTTTTGCACCTGACACAATTAAAATTTAATACCCAGTGATTACTGCTCTAGTTTCAGTCCTGTTGATGTGATAAAATATCCTGACATAAAGCGCCGTAGAGAAGGAAACAGCTTTTTAATTCCAGGTGACAATCCAGCACTGAGGGGAAGTCAAGGCAGGAACTCAAGCATCACATCCACAGTCAAGATCAGAGAGAAACAAACGCCCCCTTGCTGCCCACTTCTGCGTGTTTGCCTAGCCTTCTTCACGTACACAGCTCAAGGCCCCACCTGTGAATGGTGCCACCCACTTCAAGGCGGGTCTTCTCATCTCAGACAGTCAAGACAATCCTTCACAGACTTGCCTGTGGCTAGCCTTCTTCACGTACACAGCTCAAGGCCCCACCTGTGAATGGTGCCACCCACTTCAAGGCAGGTCTTCTCATCTCAGACAGTCAAGACAATTCTTCACAGACTTGCCCACAGGCCAACCAGATCTAGATAATTCCTCATTAAGACTCTTTTCCAGGGGAGATTGCTCAGCAGTTAAGAGCACCAGCTACTCTTGCAAAGGAGCTGGGGTCAGTTCCCAGCATCCACATGGCAACTACCAACCCTCCAGTTCCAGGGGATCTGACACCCTCTTCTAACATTGTATGACAGGGGTGCACTTACATGCAGACAAAGCACACATACACATAAAATAATGATAATAATAATAACAAAGAGACTCTCTTCCAAGGTGATTCTAGGTTACATCAAGTTGACAGGTAAAACCAACCAGCGCAATTACCAACTTCTCGTCACCTCCAGCCCCTGCCTCTGGAAACCACCACTCTGTCCTTCATTTTTCTGACTTTGACTTTTACAAATCTGATTTGAGTGCAATCCAAATTGCAATCCAAAATTCTTTGTTCATTTACTTTTGATGGGCATTAGATTGCTCTTCTTTGTATCTTGGCTACTGTTTAAAAGATTGTCCTGAATATCACAGTGCCAATATTGTTTCCAGATTCTGATTTCATCACTGTGGAAAAATTTCCTGAAGGACCTCCGCTGAGTCATGTGATGTTTATCTTGCGATGGGTCAAGGAATCCCTATACATAATGTTTCCATATCTTCCGCATCACTTCATCTTCCCATCAGCAAATAAGGGTCCCAGTCTCTCCACATCCTTCTCAACACCTTTGCCTTTTGCTTTTCTCATTACTGACAGACAAAATATTACAGTATTACAACTGTTACGTGTTGTAAAACAGGCTTTTCCTGAGTACATTTAAACATTACACACACACGCACACACACATCTACTCATCTCAGAAAGGGAAGCAGTGACAGATCAAAGTAATGATAGCATCAAAGTCCAATTTGGTGAACCAGTGAGTTTTTATAAGGTTATTAACAGGAGTATCAGTGAGGGGTTTACTTACAGGATCATGGATCCCCAAAAGCAGCTACACCAAAAAGCCCAGCCCAACACAGGTGACAACTCATGGAAGTTACAACCCAAGAGCTCTTTGCATGCCTTGAAGGCAGCTTGACAGGTCTGAGAAGTGCTCCTCCCCCACCTACAAAGCTGAAAAGGAGCCCTCGAGAGTCATCTAAGCGTCTGCTTTCCCAGATGTGCCACATTTTGCTTATGTCTCGAGTCTCAGGAGCCTCCGTCTTCCTCCCAGAGGGAATGTTTCAATTTTGAGGAAATTGTTATATGAGCAAACTAAATTTCAATGTTTAAAAAACAAATCTCATGAAATCACAGCAAAGCATGCAATGCACTGAAGACCAAGGAAAACTGCCCGTGTTGTGCCGAGCTAGCCGCTACCGGCAGCTGAAGGTGTGGCTCACCTACAAACTGCGACAGTGGACCACCCAGTTATCTTTGGAGAAATGCACATGCGGTTTCACAAAATTCTCAATGAGACTCGTATCTGCTCTGCTGATCTTGAAGTCATTCCTTCTCTCGAAGCTGTCTTTGCACAAACTGGCCATTTGTTCGTATGTTACTTTCAAGTTCTACTTTTCAAGGGCAATCAAGACTCTTCTGCTATCTGTCAACTGAATATCTAGTCCCCATGCTGATGTTCCTGATTTATTAGAATTAACATTTACTAAAATGCAAATATATTCATGTGCATGTGTATTGGTGTATATGTATGCATGTATGGTATATGTACAATTGTATGTGCATGCTTCCATGTGTGTGGACACACACGTGTGTGCATGGACATATGCATGTGTGCATGTGAAAGCCAAAGGCTGATGTCAGTTTTCTTCTTCAATTTCTCTCCACTTTGTGTATTGAGGCAGGTTCTCTCACTAAACCTGGAACTCACTGATTTAGCTAGACCAGCTAGTCAGCTTGCTGAAAGGATCCTCTGCCTCTGTCTTCCAAGTGTTGGGATTACAACTAGATCACCATGCCCACCCAGCTATTACTTGGGTGCTGGGAATCTGAACCCCAGTCTTCACACTTGCACAGTAAGTGCTTTATCCATTGAACCATCTCCCCAGTCCCACAATAAATATACTCTTAAGCCCGGAAATCCATTCCTTTTCTATAACCTGAGTCCTGTTTCCAACATGACATCTGCCTAGCCAGCTACACAGGCATCCAGGACTTTGACAGTACCTGGGAAACAGAATACAAAATGGAACTGGCCAAAATAGGTTTCTACACTAAAGAACATCATCAGGCTGACCAACTTCACATCCCAAGATTCATTACCATTACCCTACCAAAATTACTGCCTGGCACTGTCATCTTGGTCCATCCTCCTTCCAACTGAGATTCAATCAAACTCATATGAGCATTAAAGGAAGAGGGAAGCTGCCTCGAGTTCAAGGAAAACATTCCCAGTCGGTATCAGAAATCCCCCCATTTCTTCCTTTCCCTTGAAAGACCCTTCTTATTCTCTGGCCAAAGAGTAAACCTTCCTTCCCGGCTCATTGGAATCTGTTTTGTTATAGGTCCAGGATTCCTAAGGGGATAAAAGTCCAAGCTAGATGTCAAGGAATAGGAACTTCTTCATTTCCAGGATGTCCCTAACCCTTCCCAAAAAATTCAATGGTACTCTTACTCATGCAAAATCCTCCTCTTTCTCTATTTACCCCCAAATATCCCTCATTTTTTATTTGTATGGGGAGTTGATTTGCCCTTCTTTTCCTTCTTCTTTTTCTTCTTCTTATTGTTGTTGTTATTATTATTATTATTCTCTGCAAACAATAAACTTTCCTTTACAATTTAATGTAGTCACAGTTCTGTTCTGGATCCAATGATGACTCTGGTGTCAGCTGGTCAAGGCTATACGTCCCAAATCCTAGCATTTAGGGGGATGAGGTGCTAAGATTACAAGTGCAAGGACAGCTTGCACTACTTAGCAAGACCATGTTTCAAAAAACAAAATAAAATAACTTTGGTGTCAGAGAGTGGTGACGTGATCATTTGATCCCTCCCTAGTGTGACAGTTATGATACCTCTTGTACAAGTCAAAGTACAGTTTTAGGTAACTCAGAGTTTCTTCTCCGATGCCTTGAAAGTCTAAATATAAATCATAGACTAGTGGTTCTGTCTTTAAGAAGATACAGGAGCTCTTCATGTGCTGGATGATCAGGTGACACTTGATACCACCAGCCCCTTGGTTGTATTTACCAATCACAACCCCCACCCCAGGTTCCCTTCAAGTGGAAAAGAAAGAGTGAAAGTTCATGAGACTACTACTTGATGGAGTGGAACTGTTATCACACTACATGACAGAACTTCTTATTCCTGGAGTGTGGCTTGTTCCTTCACACCTTCTCTGTTTCATGTCTACAATGGAAGATGTCCCAAAATCCCTTCCTCAACTACTGCTGTACACCTGGGATACAGAGCGGAGGAAATGGTATAGAGATAGATATCTAGACTACTCTAGACCCAGAGTTCTGTGCTAAGCAACGAGGGAACCAACTACTCGGCTCTCCGCTGAACATTACAACACGTTCCTCAGTAGAGACGCTTCCTAATTTAAGTATAGAGAAAAACAAGATTGTCCACAAACAAGTACTCTGAACCTCTGCAGAGGAACAAATACCCCAGGCCTCCAGGCCAGCAGGATCTACCACATGACCAGACGATGACCAGGGCAGGAATGGCAGTGATGAAGTGACCCTTTTCCTGATCTGATCTAAGTTTCCATGAGTTCTTCCCTATTTAAACATAGAACAAACACTTAGTCTCAAAAGAATCCCAATATTTAGGGAATCAATTCTTCCTTGAAAAAGAAAGTAGCCCAATATAGACGATGGTATAACCAACCGGGAAAATTC